CACACTGGCCAGGGGCCTATCCAAGACAAAGATGCCCGTGGGATCACTGTGGGGCTGCTCCATCGACATGCAGGGAGGACAGAGGAGGCCTGGCACACCAGGGCTCAGAGCACAGCGCCAGCACAGTGCTTCTGGGGTCTCATGGTGACTCCGTTGAACAGAACTAACTAGTCATTAGAGTCCCCTCAAGTTTACCACCCTCTAGTGGAAACATGCTCTGCTCAGCGATGGCCGAAGTCCAGATTCTTCCCCATATGATCCATTTGGTGTTTTACAACGTTTGGACATCGCAGCTACCCCTGCCCCTCAACCGGGTTATTAAAACCAAGTGGAGGGGCGCCTGGGCGGCTCAGTCGATGAAGCATCTGCCTTCGGCTCCGGTCATGATCCCAGGGTCCTGGACCAGGCTCCTTGCTCAGCAGGGAGCCTTCTCCCTCTCCCTCTGCTGCTCCCCCTGCTTGTGCTCTTTCTTTCTCTCTCTCTCTGTGTGTCAAGTAAATAAATACTTGAAAGAAAGAAAGAAAGAAAGAAAGAGAGAAAGAGAGAAAGAAAGAGAGAAAGAGAGAAAGAAAGAAAAAAAGAAAGAAAGAAAGAGCAAGCCAGCCAGCCGGCCAAGTGGCCCCCGGACTCCCACGGCAAGGGACTGGGATGCCGCAGTGCAGTGAGGCCTGGCCTTCAGCCTCACAGCCAGCCATCTGGCCGGGGAGCAGGCGGTGCTGTGGGGAGGCAGGCCTGGGATCCCAGTCCACACCTGCAGGGCTCCAAGCCGAGGCAGAACTCTGTGGGCAAGAATAAATCGCCAGAAAGACAAGGTTCTGAGGGGATCACGAGGAAATCCATATTAAAATTGTAAACTCGTTCCCAAAACCATATCAGAAGCAGGCAGAAACCACGGCCTGCATCTACTTGGCTCCCACTCTCCCACAGACCCACAAGATTTCATCAAAAACGTATCGGAATTAGAGGTCCAACGCGCTATCCACTGCTATTTGATCTTTAAGCCACAAACTGACACCGTCCACAGGACTCTTATGGGCACACACACCGCCTCCCTTCTGCAGAGGTTGCTCAAACGGTCAGGAATTAACCAAGGACTGATAACCGGCCCCCAGAGAAGCTTCCATTCACCCGCGTCTTCTGGGATGGTGCAGAAAGCACAGTCTCTTCTTACTTATTTCAACTGGCTAGCTCATTCGAAAACATGGTCCCAATTTTATTTTGCATTTGATTAGTGTTAAACATCATTTCGTTTTGTGAAAAGTTACCGATGTTTTATACACACTGTAGTGAAGACAAAAACATGATACCCCACATGTATCCTGACACACCTGTAAACCCAGCTTTTCATTGGGGGGAGGCGTGCCACACACCTCTGGGGCTCAGGACTACACAGGAGACCTATGGGCCCAGGTCCCCATGTGTGGGTCCCAGGGTTCACCCCCAGGCTCAGCCACTTACTGTGTGGCTTTGCACAAGTGACTTCACCTCTCTGAGCCTCCTTTTCCGCTCTGTAAAATGCAGGTAATAACAGACCACCCTCATTGGGTTCTGCAGAGAGAGAATAAGGCTGAGTGTTCTGCACAGGACTTGGCCTCCTAGATTATTTCTCAGGGCCTGCTAAGTGCCAGGAACAAATACTCATTATGCTTCCCAGATTATAACACAGAAATTGAAGCTCAGAGCAGTGGGGTGCTTCTGGGCCAAGGTCACAAAGCCAGCAATGGCCCAGCCAGGGATGGAAATGGTCCCTGCACCCCAAACAACGCCAGGCTCTAGGACGTTTCTGCTGCAGAATAAAAGGCCCAGGGCCCCTCCCTATCCTCTTAAGAATTAAAAACACTTTAGACATCTGAATAATTCAGGGATGAGCTAGACATGTTTGAAACAGGCCTGAGCTTTCCTTCAGCTTCCCTGTCCCAGTAGGCTTGCCGGGTCCAAGCAAAGAGCAAGATGGCTTCAACTCTATAATCCACCCCAGCACCAAACCGGAGCGCCTGCACATGGGAGTGCTGAGGACGGAGGCCGCCTCCGTCGGGGAGCTCTGGCTCCATCCAGCAGAGGGTGGTGGTGTGCAGGGCCTGATGGGGAGGATGTTGTCCTCCAAGCTTCTACTGCAAACGGTTTTACATAAGCTAAGAACCACTAACAGTTGCCCTGTTATTCCAGTTCCGCGCAGCATGACTGGCTGGGAGTAGACTGGCATCTGAGTCAGGCCCCAGGGGATCGCAGGGTTTCTAGAACTGAACCCCTCTGTGCGGCGTCACCTGGGTGCCCCTGTTCTCTCAGCCTTTGTTTTATGAGCCTGAAACCTTGATTTCCGTGTCAAGGCCCAAAATGCTAAGAATGTGTAAACAAGGTTTTGTGCTTAAGAGATCAGTGCAGGGGGGGGTGGGGGGGGCAGCAGCCTGGGTGGCTCGGTCAAGTGACTGCCTCCTGCTCAGGTCATGAACCCAGGGTTCTGGGATCGAGCCCCACATCGGGCTCTCTGCTCAGCATCGAATCTGCTTCTCCCTCTGTGATCTCTCTCACTTTCACTCTCTCTCAAATAAGTAAAATCTTTTTTAAAACACTCAATGGAGGGCCCACGAGAGCACTGTCCCACCCTTTTCCCCACCAGGGTGGGTCAGGCTTGTGAGGCCTTGCCCAGCACTACTCCACAATGCTTAGAGAAACCACAGGGTTCCTAGAACATGATCTTAGAACTAGTTCCTATCTTCACTTAACCCTACGAACAAAGGCACTGCCTCACAATCTGAGGACCCGACTTGTTCCCAAATATTTACAAATCCAAAATCATGGTGAAGCATTCTTAAGTGGATTCTTAACAGCCAGCCCTGCGGACAGAAGACAGATAAAACTTCAAGCTGACACACATTACCAAAATCCCAGGAGCTGGGCGAGCAGCTTGCTTTCTTCCCCCACAAAACTGGACAAAGCCAGAGACCCCTTGTTACTTGGAGCCTCCCTGTACGTCATAAAACCATCCTGTAATACAAAGTTCTACAGTTCTCAATCCAAGGCACTTTCTGTTTCAGGGCTAACAACAGTAACCGCTTATGCTTTGAGAGCATCTCAGGACTTTCAGTCTGAGGAAGTTCTCGGGTATGTCCAGGCTTCTCAGGGTGAGAGGCCCCACCTCTGCAAACCCCAAGCAGTCAGGCTCCTCTACAACCCCAGGGACCTCTCACCCACCCCAAGAGCCCTCACCCTTGAGGGAAGCCAACAACACACCCTTCTCCTCCCAGAACACATTCTCTTGCTTCTAAAAGATTGAGAAAGGAGACCAGCACAACAGGCTCACTGGATTCCTGCAGGACAAAAGCCTCTTTGGCATCCAGCACCCACCCAAGCAGTCTTGTCTGCTTTTAACACATCTTTCCGGAAAATTAAAATGTAACTCAAGGCACAATCCCATAGGCTTAAATTTTAACCCAACCAAATACAAATGCGTTGCCCCTTGACTAAAACATACATGTTTAAGAGATCTATCATCTTCTGCCCTTTAACACGTAAATCTAGAAAACACGCAACTAAATATTAAAGTACACATGGGTCAGCACTTAATGTCATCATTTAACGAAGTGGCAAATGCTCTTTACCCCTCTGCCCCACCGAGCACAGTAACACAACGCAGTGGAAGCACTTTTGGGATTCTCAGGTGGGGTGCATTTGAGAGACTGAATGTACAGATCTCAATGTCCCAGACCCGACCACCTGAGCTCTGGCCAGTGGGGGAAGCCCCAGCCTTCACTCTCCCTTCCTGCCCCACGAGCAGGAGGCGCTCCTCTCAGAGAATGTTCCAGCATCAAGGGTGTGTCCGAGGCACCATGGGCAGATCCCTAATTCCTGTAACTGGACCACCACTCAGCTCTTTGAAACATGCCTTTACAATGTATTTTAACTTTGTGCATTTAGTAATTATGAAGATCAGTGACACACTTATGCTTCTGTAATCAATTTTATATTGGTAATTAAAATAACAAAAAATGCTTCTGGTTGGGGTAAACACAGCCTTATGATCACAGAATCATCATGGTTTAAACTCCAATTTATATACACTTGTGTCACACGTGTGAAGGACGATCAATGAAAGACTCTGACGTGTAAAAGTGTGTGACATTAGAATCAAACTCCATGAGGGGAAAACGGAACAAACATCCAAGTTCAAGAAGAAAAGAGATGCACGTGTTATCACCATTAACAGTCTGCTCGGTTTTTAAAGGGTGGTAGTGGTTATCCAGTCAGTAGCATAATTGGTATCGGATCCTTTCAAGAGCAGTCTAACTGTGAATTTCAATGTCCACAGATAGACTACACTAGACATGACATCTAATTCTATTTAAAATTAGCAATAAGCTCGATGTCTACTTAGAAATGCACCCGTAGTTTTCGAAGTTATTTTATGGAGCATGAGCAAAAACGTCTGAAGATCTCAGCTGGAAGGCAATACAGCTGTGAAAGACCCATAATCTAACAAGCTCTCCCCACCTTATTATGTCCAGTGAACTCTGGATCAACAAGTTCAACTCGGGCATAGAGACGGCAAAACCCCTCCTCCCTCAAAATAATTGGTGGAAAAATATTTCCTTCCCATTTCAAACCAAAAAAAAAAAAAAATCATACTTTTGGATAAAAAGACTTTCCTACAATGATGACTAAAATGTTGGCAATGAGAAGCGTATTTGTTGTTTCCTGGCCTTGCAATGTCCAACTAATGGCTCGAAATTGCGAGATAAGATTTGTATGTGAAGTACAGTGACCACGATCACAGTGATCACCGCGCTGTCCCACCTCCCCTCTGTCAGCCGTTTTAGGGGTCTGCTATGTATTTTGCACTCAAGACTTTCCTGCCTTTACAAAGGGAAACATTTGGTTGCCAATCGATTCATTCATCCGGCTCCGGGATTCAGAGGCAGAACCCCAGGAGAGACCCTCAGGCAAACCCCCAAAAACACAGAACGAAGAAGGAGCCACACCACCGAATCCAGGTCAGAAGGTACTTTTTGAATGCAGCAAAAGAAAGCGCCCCTCGGGCACTGGTTCAGGAATGCAGTTTTCCTCTCCGCCAGCAAAATCCTTCAACAGGTTCAGGAGGATGAAAACACGGACGACCTCGGACTGAACAATGCTTCCCTCACCTGGGCTTCGGGCCAAGCAGAGGTGGGAGGGCAAGGCGGCCTCGCTCGGTAACTAGAAAAGGCTCTGCAAACCCCTCCGGCTGGGGTGGTGGCATGGTGGCATCCCACCTCGGGACGGCGGGCACTCCCCTGCCCAGGCCAACATGCACCCTCGTCAGGGGGTCCCCTCCAGAGCCTGCCCCTGACCCTGTGCGGCCCCAAATTGGCGACACCGAACTCCGAGCCCTCCTCGCGCAACTTCGTGGTTTCGTGTCCTTTCCCACAGCCTCCCTCGCTCCGCCTGCCCGTCGGCGAAGGTGGGGACACCACGCCATCCCCCGCAGCCGTGGAGGGGCCCCGCAGGAGCGCCAGGCTTCAAAGGAACTCTCTTCGTGACATGAAAACGGTAAGTGGATTACGCTGCTGCCCTCGAAGGCTGTGGACGTTTTAATCTTCTTAAAATGTCTCCTCTAAAAGTCACTTGCCAAGGAAGGAGGCTCACAGACGCTGTTAGGCCCCCACTAAGTGTTTCCAATGTTACCGCTACCCCAACGGCAGCGGGTTGGAAATAACTATCATGCAGACTGGTGAAGTCGGACATTTGGCAAGCTTCCTTCTGATTTAGGGCCGGGAAGCTTCCTTTGCACACAGTGAAAAGATCCACAATCCCCCCAGGTCGCTCCAAGGGCCTTATTGCACAAAGGCCTCGCATTTGATACCTTAAAAAAAAAAAAAAAAAAAAAAAAAAAAAAGCCAGTCGAAGCACATTTTGAAAGTTCCATGTTTAAAAAGATCCTTGTTCATTGATTTTGGTGGGGTAATTAAGTGAATCTAAACAAGGGGGCCTTGTGTGGGCGCCTGTGGGGGAGGTGCGAGGGGCTGGCCTCGGCCGGTGAGCCCCCTCGCAGACACTGGTTGCTTGGCTCCAGGGTCCTCTCCCGCCCCCTACCCCCAACCCCCTTTCTAGACGATGCTCTTCATCTGGGAAGCTTTTTCCCTCTGGTCAAATTTCCACTCAGCAAAGCTAAAATGCTCTCACGTTTCCTGGCTTGGAGTGGAAGCAACCCTCCTAATGGTGTTTCACTGAGTGCACCTTCAGCAACAGAACTGCGTTGTGACAGAGAAATCTGGGGAGCCAGAGGCAACAGCTGTGGAGCAGCATCCTCCCCAGGAACACGGCTTCCAGCGCTTTCCGGCTCCACAAATTACAGACAGGGCTCTGCCAGGAGTGTTCCCGAGCAGGGCACTGGCAATTTGGGGTTGTCTGCCACCTAGGGCGCTAGCCGGCCGCCTTCACTCGGCGCCAGGCCGCGAGGCTGTTCGTCCTGAGCCACCCCTAACAGCTCCACGGGGCTGGGCTCCGGGTGCTCGCGGGACAAGAAGGCAGAGGGCACAGGGTGCAGACGGGTGATAGGGCCAAAGAGGCCCCACGGTCGGAAAATAACAGCAGAGCCCAGACCCCAGCGCAGCCCTCGGCTCTTCTCCCCACCATCCCTCTGACAACACAGAGAAAACCAGTCCAACATCAAGCAACCTAATCGCTGGCCGAAATACCTTCTTGGACTCCCTTCCTCCATCGGGGATGGGGGAGCTGCCGTTGCCGCAGGCCCTCCTCCCCCGCAGACCTGCAGGGCAGGATCTCCGGGCTCGGAGGGCAGGGCCCCTTTCCCAGACTCCTCCCGCCCCTTCCCAGCTCCCCTCCTCTCCAATACGCAAAGTTGGAGAACAGAGAGAGCCCCGGGATGTTAAAAGCTGCAAAAGCCACCTTGGAGCGCACCCAGTCCCATCTCAGCTCTGCTTCCCCCTCACCCCCATGCGGCAGGGGCCAAGGCTGCAACACTCCTCTCTGCAAGGGAAGCAGGCCACTGGCTCGCTGCCGCCCCCCCCACCAGCGGGTGGGCAGCCTCCCCTGGGGGGCACCCGGGCCACAAAAAACCACCACTAAATACCTAATATGCATTTCAAATGCATCTCAAAAGATCCACCTCTTTCCTTTACAGCTGCTGCCCATAAAAACAATTAGCCTGCATGGGACTGAAATTCCTGATTTTTCAGACAAACCTATTTCCCCACCCTCCCACCAGAGAGCACTTGAGATCTGCACCAAGCCTGGGTCCTTCCACCTGGGGCCTGCATAGCTCCAAGCTACCAACGCTGCCACTCCTCAACTTCAGGCCAATTCTGCAAACTCTCCCAAGCCTCAAATAAACTCTCTTTTTTTAAAAAACTTAATTCAGATCTAGCCAAAGAGCAAGGAAATTATTCATATTTTTTTTAAAAGAGGTTAGGGATTACTATTCCTGACACCCAACCATTTATTATACTTAATTAACCAATTCTCCAGCTTTTTATGTTCTTCCCCTTTTTTTCAAGCACAAAATAATAGAGATGACAGATTCCCCCGAGCCGTACCTGTCTGTCCATGGCCGGAGAGTGGTATGAGGTGGTCGTAGTGAAGGAAAAGTACAGGGCACATACACATAACACTGCCAAGATCCAACCTGGGTTTCCCCAGCAGAAACGGGCTTCGATTCTGACAATCATTTGACCCCACAACTGCTTCAGTCACTCATCTTCCAAACCTTCCTCCCTTCCCAGGACCTAGGGCCAGGAGATGCCCCAATAACCAGGAGCTCCAAGGCCCCTTTTGCTGTAGTTAGCTGAGGTATCCAATGGGGCTGGGTGGCTCAGTCTGGCCCATCACTGCCCCCATTGGAAAAACAAAACAATCTCACACTCCCCAGGAGATCAACTGCCCTTTCCCACTCCTCCCTAGCAACCCTTCCCCTCCCCCCACCCTCCACTTTCTAGAATCATCATAGATACCTAACCAAGAAGCTGGGCTTTTTCCAAACCACCCCCCCTCATTTTGATATACCTCCCCTGGAAAAGACCTCGGCTGGAAAGCACTCCCCAATAACCCAATCAAGAGCAACACACCTTGGGGAGGAATGGGTTAAATTCGAGAGCTCCAGGAGGAGGAGCTGCTCGGGAAAGGGAAGCAGTGCCGAGATGCAGAGAAATGTGCAGGGCAGGGGCTCCGGACCTGGATGCACAGATGCACTGGCCCCTCTCCTCCAGGGAGAAGCCTGGCCACAGGAAATAAAGGTGTCTTCAAAGGGACAGACCGGAGGACAAGCACATGATACACAAATACAGGCACAGCCCAGGGGACAGCTTGGAGCCGGAGGTGTGGAACACTGGATGGGCGTGCTGAGCGCGTGTGTGGTGGGGGGCAGGGGAGGTGGGGTGAAGGCAGGCAGAGAGGACAGGCAAGGGCTGGACTCTCAGAGAAGTTGGGAGATAGATGTCAGGCCGAGGAGGCAGGACGGGGTCGGAGCCAAGGGGGCGAGGCTCCAGATTCGCCCCTGGGTAGAGAACCCTGAGGAAACAGGGGGTGAGGGAATGCTGTAGGGCGAAGGGGGGGCCGGATCCGTAGGAAGGTGCACACCGCGGGGAGGGGGCCCGGGATGCTCCAGTAGGCTGCCGGGACGGGGGTGACGAGGGGCAGGTGCAGCCCGGGGAGAGAAGTGGGGAGGCCGAGGATGAGGCGGGAGTCCCATCGGGAGTCGCGCCCGGCCGGGTCGTGGGAGGAGTCGGGGTGCGTGTG